GTGCGGGGGGCCACCTCCGCTGAGAGCCATCACCATCACGAGGTACGGAGTGGAGTCGCACCCGTCACACCTGCTGAGGAGGTTGCTCGACCAAGACCGCTGGTTCTGCGAGCGGTGCGGAGGAGCGACGACGGAGCTGATCGCCGCGAAGCTGCAGGAGCCCTGCTGCGGTCACACAGCCTGCAGCAGTGGACACTACAGGCTCGAGGGCTGGCTGAGGCAGGCCGCCAAGGAGGGCGGAGCAGGACAGCGGGCAACACCACACGAGACCTACGCGGACGGCGAGCTGAGGGGTCAGATCGCAAGTCCAGCGGCGGTGCTCCTCGAGCCGTCAGCGGGCTCACCGCCGCCAGAGACGCAGCCACCAGTCGTGATCTGCGCGGACGGCGAGCTGAGGTGTCAGAGCGCTAAATCCATGTCGGTGCTCCTCGAGCCGGCCGCTGGTGCTCGTCGCCACTGCAGCCCGTCCCATGGCCAGGGCTTCGCTCAGGGTCAGAACGCAAATCCAGAGGCGGTGCTCCTCGAGCCGCCAGCGGCGTTCCCCGAGCTGCCCGCGGGTCCAGCGTTGGCACGATCGGACGAGCAGGTGAGGAGGGCACGCACCGATGAGGAGCAGCAGCAGGAGGCGCAGCGTCTACTGCAGACCGCAGCGAGGCTGGCCAACACCAGCGTGCAGCCCCAGCACGACACCGTGCAGTACGACACGCAGGCGGAGGACCTCGACGTCGCCGAGGCAGAGGCAGCGAGGGCGAGGGCCATGCTGGAGGTCGAGAGGGAGAAGGCAGCTGTGCAGCGAGGCGAGAGGCCTCGGCAAAGGAGAGCCGCGCGAGAGGCCCCTCTGCCTCTCGCAGAGCTGAGGCGCCTGCTGGAGGGTGGCGAGCAGCGGGAGAGGGGACCTGCGCGTGCCTCGCGTCAGTCGGACACGCGAGGCGGAGGCGAGAGGATCCAGCCAGCTGGCGGCGGTGGCCTGACGGCGGTGCGGTGCGAGGCACGCGGCGAAGCGGCAGCTGGACTGCCTGCAGGTCTTGTGGGGCTTGCACCTCGCGCTGATCCAGGGTGTGGTTCAGGCCGTGAAGCCCGTGCTGCGGCCGCCCCGCCGCCCCGCGCAGCTGCGGTGCCGCCAGAGGAAGACGGCGGTGCCGCAGAGGAGGCAGGCTGCGGCCGCCAGAGGAGGACGGCGGTGCCACAGCTGCGGCCGCCAGAGGAGGAGGGCTGCGGAGCGCAGCTGCGGTGCCGCAGCTGAGGCGGGCGCCGCCACGCCGCCGCGCGCGCCCGCGCGGCGGCCGCCACGACGCTGGCGTCACGAAAGGGTCGAAAGGGCTCCTCCTCCTCCTCCTCCTCCTCCTCCTCCTCCTCCTCCTCCTCCTCCTCCTCCTCCCCCTAGGATCGAGGATCGATGTCTTCGAGCGCCTCTGGCCCTTCTCGGGCCCCCCGAGGCCTGGGGCCTCCGCCGGGGGGCCTTTGGGCAGGGCCTCTGCAGGGGCCCCGGCCAGGCGGTTCGCAGAGGGGCGGCGGCCGTCCTTGGACGAACGGGGGGAGTCCTTGTCGTCTGAGGGAGGGAGGAGGAAGTGGTGGAGGAGGAGGAGGTGGAGGAGGAGGAGGAGGAGGAGGTGGATGAGGAGGAGGAGGAGGAGGAGGAGGAGGAGGAGGAAGAGGAGGAGGAGGAGGAGGAGAGATTAAGGAGGATGCAGGAGAAGGAAGCGAGGGATAGTGGAGGAGGGAGGACTGCTTGACCTTGCTCTGGCGGGCACTCCCTGATGACAGGGGCCCAATGGCAAGATCAGGCTCACTCGGGGAAAGTCATCCCTCTCTTCGGCGGCAGCCCAGCCCCGCCTTTGTCGGGGTCGAGGCGGGATCAAAGTGGAGGGACAGGCCTCCGCGAGCAGCTGGGCAGTGTCTACACAGGACCGCCCGCACGCTTCGCAATACAACGCTTCTCAGGTGCAGTCGAGGGTGTGAGAAGACTGGGCCCGAGGGAAGGCACGATGATGGCGGGTCCAGCGGTGGTGCCCCACAACATTTCCCTGGGCTGAATTCAGCTAGCTTGCCTCGGAACGCCTGAAACTTGCGCCTGCACACCTGACACCTGAGCAGACCCTTGATGAGCGCAGGAGCATGGCCCGCCGCAAGCAGCCTTTGTCGACGGACCGCCGCGGCGAGAAGAGCCCGGGGACGGGGGGGCTGCCTACACACGCGGTCAGCCTTATTCGGAGAACATGTGAGAGCAACTTCCCGATTGATTACAAGAGTCAGTGCAGCATTCGGGAGGCCATCATCATCATCATCATCATCATCATCATCATCATCAGCATCAGCATCAGCATCAGCATCATCATCATCATCAGCATCATCATCATCATCATCACCATCATCATCATCATCATCATCATCAGCATCATCATCATCATATACAGATATATATATATATAATTATATATATATATGTATGTATAACTATATCGGAGGCGAGCTGGACATATTCGGGGTCTACCTCCTCTTTGGCGGCGGCCACGCCACACTCATCGAAGCCGTGGAGTGGGCGTTCGTCCAGAAAAGTCCGACCCTCCCCGATGGATTGCCGAGACGATCCCAAACCAGACACCAGAGGTCGAGCATCAGGAGGAGAAAGGGGAGGAGGAGGAGGAGGAGGAGGAGGAGGCGGAGGAGGAGGAGGCGGAGGAGGAGGAGGGGAATGAGGAGGTGGAGGGAGGAGGGAGCAAGAGGGAGGAGGAGGGGGGAGGGAGGAGGTGGAGGAGGAGGGAGGGAGCGGGCGGGCCACGAGAGGAGACCTCCCCCTCGCCTCCCCACCCCTGGGCACACCCCCGCCGGGCCCGGGGCGCCGCTTCTCGGAGGGCTCCGCGGAGGCGCGGTACACGCGCGGTGCACGCGGGCCCTCGGCCGGCGCGGCCCCCGGGGGCGATGCTGCTGCGGAGGTGGGCGGCGCTCGCGGGCGGCAGCCTGGCGCATGCTGCCAGAGGCCCGTGGCCCTCCGGCACCATCAGCATCGTCATCGCCATCATCGTCGTCATGATCGTCAGTGCCATCACCCTCCCCAACACTATCGTCCTCATCGTCGTCGCCCTCGTCATCATTCTCGTCGTCATCGTTGTCGTCATAATCAGCATCAGCATCAGAATCACCGTTTTCAGATTCGTCAGCATTGCCAATGTCGTTGCCATTGTCATTGCCCGTATCATCATCCTACTTACCATCATCATCATCAGCAGCAGCAGCATCAGCATCATCAGCATCAGCATCAGCATCATCAGCATTATCAGCAGCATCAGCAACACCATTACAATCACCAACACCATCACCATCACAATCATCATCACCATAGTCGTCATCGTCATTGTCCTCGTCCTCGTCCTCGCCCTCCTCAATTTTTTTTTTCTCATCAGATGTCACCTGGTCAGCCGTCTCCTCCTAATGTAGTACCCTCATACTCCTCATCATTGTCATCCTCCTGTTCTTTATCGCTGTCAATCCTCATCCTCCTCATCATCCTCATCCTCGTCATCCTCCTCGTCATCATCATCATCATCATCATCATCATCGTCATCAGCATCATCATCCTCCTCATCATCATCATCGTCATCGTCGTCATCATCATCATCATCATCATCATCATCATCATCATCATCATCTGCATCATCATCCTGATCCTTTTCCGCGTCCTCCGCATCCTCATCCATTGCCGCATCCTCGCTCCACCTCCTCCTGCAAGTTCAGCGAGCAGTACAAGAACGATATGGCGTGCGACTACACCACGTCCAATGTGCGCCGAACCTTGGATGACAAACACCCCGACAACAAACGTGAGAATGCGGTGATGCATGAAGATGCCAACCCTGTGGATGAGCTCTTGTGGTGCCCGAGGTTAGTGCCGTTCAGTGTGCAATAGCTTGCCTCGCGCATGCGTTGTAGGTGGCAACGTGTTACCCGGGTGCGTGCGTTGTGTTACGTCCGCCTGCCAACTTGCTCTGAATACCGAGTCCGATCCGATTCGGTCATCCTCCTCGTCCTCCTCCTTTTCCTCCTCCTCCTCGTATTCCTCCTCCTCCTTCTCCTCCTCCTCCTGATCTTCCTCCTCCTCCTCCTCCTCCTCCTCCTCCTCCTCCTCCTCCTCCTCCTCCTCCTCCTCCTCCTCCTCCTCCTCCTCCAGGCGGCGACGGCGACCGCGAGCCCCGGCTTGGGCGCGGCCCCCTCAGCGCGCCCCTTGGTTCTGTTCGGTGACGCCGCCGGCGGCCCCGAGTCGAATGACCCCCACCTCCGCCGCGGCGGCGCCAGCGTCTGCCGACTGCGAGGCGGGAGGGCGCGCCCGCGCCGCGCCGCTGGCCACCAGGTCCGGCTCCGCGCGCCTCGGCCTCGACCGCCCCCGGGGGGCGCTTCGCTAGGGGGCGCGGCCTGCCGCGCGCCCCTGGACGCCAGTGCCGTGCCGTCGGCGCCGCCGCCTGGGCGTCGTGGGCCTCGGT